TAGACTTGTAAACCTTTGTGTTCTAGCGAAACGGTAGCGACCTTAGGACTCTATGCTTTGACCTTAAAACGTTGGAGCACCATACTTGGTCTCAAAAAGCATATTAATAAGCGGAGGAAAAGAAACTAACAAGGATTCCCCTAGTAATGGTGTTTGCTCGTGCAGTGCAATTTCTCCCAGTGTTGGAACCAGAAACTGAGGCTGCCTTTTTGCCGCATTGCCAATTGCTGTTGTTCCTTTGGTTGAAAACATCAGCTGCCCTCCTGTTGCTGTCTCTGCTGTGCCTTCCTGCGCTCAAGTTGTGTGTGCCAGCCAACTGGCTGCCCCTGCTACTCGCAATCCTGGGCCCTTCCACACTGCCAAATTTGCCTCTCATGCAACAAATGCTATTGTTCGTATTGAAGCTGCCAATGTTGATGCTCAGCCTGCCCTTTATCGCTTAGTGGTTGCTGGAGTGGACCCCGTCTCTCTCAGATCACTAAGGCCACCAAGATTGGTGATTGATGATTATCCAGCTGAGTCACCAATTTTGATCAATCCTCCTCAGCCTGTTCGTGATTATGCTGCTGGTTTTGCTACTTTTAGGTTTAAGGAAATTAGTCGTCAGCCACTTAATCAGCTCCGCACTCTCATTAATTGAATTTCTGGAAACCCTCAAATTTCGCGTGACATTCACCATATTAGTTTTATTGGGCGTTTTATTGGGCGTAACATTGCGGAGTTTATTTGTACTTCTGACTGTGCTGACAAGCTCGGCAAAGACATTTTTCCAGGTGATGAGGTTCCCTTTGACCTTTTCGACCCTATGCAGCTTTGTTCTGGGTCTGTTCAATCACCTGAGCAACGTCAAGCAGCTGTAGCGAAGGCTGTTCACAAAAGATTTGCTCACCTTTTGCGAATTACTCATGATCCTGCAGTTTTCCATTATCTTCTTTCTAATCTTCCCGCTGCAGACTTTGAAGCTACTGTTGCTTTAGCCTGTTCTCACGTTCTGAACCTGCATCTCGTAATTAATGTGGACTTTCCCTGCTAGAACCTTCAACTGTAGAGGTTTGCCTTTGGATTTTTCAGACTTACTTGCTTGGCTTGTTACTCATCATCTTGATTTTTTAGATTTAACAGAAACTCATCAGTTAACTTTCTCGTCCTCCACCAGACGCTCCTTTGGCATCTGGTGTTGCTCTTCTTATTAACCCTCATCGTTGCATACTTATCAATTTAGGTTGATTACATTAGTTCCTTCTGGGTTTGGTTTGTGGTTTAGGTTTCGCTAGGTCGTGATGGGTGGATTTTATTTTCCGCCACGTTCGACTGCAGAAGATTGTTTGGGTGCATTTTCTGATTTTCCTCAATTTGTTTCGAATTTGGATACTCCAGTAGTTTTGATGGGTACTTCAATTTTAGAACTCAGAGCACCGGTGATTGTGTTACCAATGCCCTTGCCAGTGCGCTTCTTCCTTTTTTTACAGCTCACTCACTTTCATTGGTTGTCCCAGCTTCTTTTTCAGCTCTTCGCCCCACTTTTTGTTCTCACTTAGGGAGTTCAATTATTGATTTGTTTTTGGCTTCTGCTTATGTGACAGCTTCTTCTTATTTAGTGCATGATCAACCCCAGTCTATGGCTCCCCATCCTTCAGACCATTTTGCAGTGACTTGTTCATTTTCTGTAGCTGGCCCAGATCCTCAGGCCTCTGTGCCCCCTCTTTGCCTTCTTGGAATCTCCGCCTGTTAACGGATGAAGTTATTCATAAGTCATACTGAGAAACTAATAAGATTCTGCTTCCTCCAACATCAGAGGCGCTAACAGCAGCATTGCAACCACTTCAGGTCCCTGTGGGGACTTCTCTTTCTCGTGCAGTGGCCCAGGAGCAATTGATTCACATTTCAGATTATAGTTGATTTTGTTGAGGCTGCAGCAGTTCTGACATTGGGACTACCAACACCTCGTCGTAGAGCACCAGCGACCACTTCTCTGCCCATGGAGATTGCTTTGGTGCGTAGTAAGGCTCGTTCAGCATTCCATGACTATTACTCTCTTTCACCACAATTCTTCTGACCTCTTCTTCCTTTCATCCTGCCAAACCACAATACAATTCATTTGTATTTGCAGATGATTTGCCTTTGTTTGCACTTACTTTGGAGGCTATGCAGGCTCTTCTCTCTGTTTGTGACCAGTTTGCCCAAGCTTGTGGTTTTTCATTTGCTCCTGTGGAGTCTGTGATTCTCACAAGAATCCCCATTCCTGCTAATTTGCCTTTGCTTCTTCATGGTCAAACCCTGCCTGTCAAGTCTTCATTTCGTTATTTGGGTTGCTTTTTCGGAGATACTGGATTTGATGTTTCATTGACTGTTTCCCATCAACTTGCTAAAGCGTATGGAGCTTCTTTTGCTTTGCTTTCTTTTTAAAGGATATTTGGTTCTCATTCTCTGGTTGTGGTTTGTTATTTGCTTTTGTCTTTTATTCCACCTACACTCTTGAATTTGGTTTATATCTTATTCTTCCCTCTGTTGCTGTTTGCAAACCAGTTCGGACTTTTATTCACCAAAGTTTGTGTAAATTTCTTCGCCTTTCATTTTCCACTTCAATTGCTGGGGTTTTGCTGTTTTTTTTGTTTCCTGACTTCAGTTTTGGCTTTAATATCTGCAGTTTCAGATGTTTCACCGTAGGTTGCATGATGATACCACTGATATGGTTCACTCTATGCTTTAATTCTTTCTCCACCAGGGAAAGCATTTTCGTTGTTCTCCTGTTCCTTTCCTCTTCCCGGCTGCAATTGATAGCCTTCGTCCAGTTGCATTTCAACCCAGCAAATCTTGCACCGTGGTATCTGACTGAACAATCACAAGTTGATAGGCGGAACAGCCCAAATCAGCTTCTGTATCTGGTTCATATCGTCAGAGTCCCATCTATCACTGGTTACATCCTTGCCAACCCAGTCCTGATGAACTGATCGATGTCGTCATTTGACAGCATGAAATCCTTGGCCAAACCTGCCTTCCAAGGTTTCCAATCCACCTCAGGAAGCGTTATGGACAACAGATGCCGGATATATGCAGTCCAGAACCTTAGCCACTCAGAAGGATATGTATCCATTAATGCTCTGAACCATGCTATATATAGTGGCAGACGTACTATGCAAGTTGTTGTGCCGAATCCAGTTTCTAAGCAAAATGTGCACCCTAAGAAGAGTAAGGCCGCTCACTACTACTTGAAGTTGATGTTCGGCTTGAGCGTTCGTCAGATTCAACAAAGATGGGCCATAAGAACTCATTTTGGGAGAGGATTTTGTAGTTAACGTTGACAAACTTGATTGATGGTGGTAGAGACGGCAATTTAAGGTCATGAATAACTTCATTGACTTTATGCATCTGGAAGCAGATGCCCTGGATGACCTCTTTCACCAAAAGGATAGCAGTACAACAGTGCTGCTGCGGGCTAAGCAATGCAAGGGAACTGGTTTGTTGTACCTTGGGAATTCTACCAATCCCCTTGATATCCAACTAGATGCTGCTTGGGCCGCCTGTTGATATTGGCGCCGCGTGTGTAGCAGCTTCTGAATGACCAGCCTGTCGTTTCAGAGCAGCAAGCTCTCCCTCTAGGGCAGTCACACATGATTTCTATTATGAAATCTCCTGGATGCCGCCTGCTCTGACAGCACGCTAGTTCGTCAAGCCCTGGATGAAATTCACGATACATTCAGTGGACAAACGAAGTTCATAACAGCAGCAAACGGCATATCGTATGGAGTGCTTGAAAATTTCTTCTTTTCAGAAGGAAAGAATATTTCTGGACTTTTACCGGGAGCAGGGACACAAGTACGACATTTACAGAGGAATGCCTGTCACTGCAAAGGTTGACAAGTTCCAAGTGACCGTCAAACGAGCAGATGAGGGCCGTGAAAGGACAAAACAGGTCCTCAAAAGTCAGAACGACTGTTGAACGTGACAAAAGATCTTGAAGGGACGGCAATGAATGAGAGAACTGCTGCAATGGAAAGGGAGAAGGATTTTACCTTTTGCACAGATATTTAACAATTCGTCCATTTCGTAACGGCGAGCAACACCACGTTCGTAATGCCGTCGATTTAGGGGCCAGTGCTTCGATTGCTTGAAAGTTCCGGGGCTCTTGAAGATAGAAGTGCTGTTCATCACTAATCCAGCCATGACCACCAGCTCACGCTAGTAACGTTTGTATGGCTGTTCACTGTCTTCGGCAAACTGCAGGTGGTGCTGGCCAAAGTGACCCTGAGTTTGCCTCGAAGCCTACACAACCACCACACGGCCCAATTTCAAACTGCTTCTGTTGGCAGGCACTGCCAAGATGTTTAACAGCGACTTGCTTTCATACAACATCTGGGGGCTTACAAATCAATAATTGACCTCCCTAAGTGAGAACAAAAAGTTGGGCAACGAGCTGAAGCAGAAGATGGGAGTCTGGGACAACCAATGAAAGTGAGTGAGCTGCAAAAAAAATAGCGGGCATTGGTAACATTAAGTGCACGAAGAACAAGAACCCACTGGGAAAAAGCAGGGGAAGGATAAAAAGGCTGTGGTAAAAGCATATCAATTGCAATGTCAAGAGGTAGGCGGGGATCGTCAGGCGGGCCCCAAATCAAAACTAGCAGACAAACTAGCACGCAAATGTAGACACACAGAGACATGGGCACGCGACACTTCAGCGGCATCATGACAGTTCCTACAATAAGGTCAGGGGTTTGGAAACAGATGGCCAAGCCGATATAGCAGGAACAAACGAAGACATACTGTTAGGAGATGTTGGTGTGGGGGTAGCAACAATTGGTGACGAAGTTTCAAATTGTGGACAGGGGCAAACGAAACTGCAATTGGTCCATTATGCGCAACAGCTAAAGACTGAAAATGCAACATCAACCGTTGAAGTGGGGGCACAACAGGCATAGGAACAATGAGATCATTGTGACAAGCGGAAAAATAAGCAGATGAACCATAATGTGTTAGATATGACCGAGAAATTCGAATCAGCCCTTGTAGATCAGTGGAATAGATCATTGGACTTCTAATCCAAGGGTCCGCGGTTCGAACCCGCGCTGGGGCGTAGATCGTGCACAGTTTCCTCATAAATGCTAATCCGACAGCGGTGCGGTTGTTTCATATGACGCTATTGTATATGTCATGTGGAATTCGTCAGTTCAATGATCGTAATTCCGTCCATTAATGTCATTTTTCTTGACTTCCTACTTAACTGCATGAGATGTACTTCGAACCAGCGTACACTCAAATGATCCCTATCGGAATTTTAACATCTCGCGGAGCATCACCCTGAAGATGGTATTATACTCTGCTCCTTATCTGATATATTTGGATCTGCCTTCGAACCAGCGAACAATCAGTATGATCCCTCTCGCCAACCACCACGGCGAGCCCCGGATCGATCCACATTTGCTCCTCTTTTCGACCTTCGAAGTAGTTCCGCTGCCAGATGGTAAGTAGACGGCGGATCGACGGCGTATCGCACCACCCGCTCGCCCGACAGCAACGGACGGCTCACCGATTCCTTTGCGGGTAGCAGGCGCTCAGGCCTTATAGAACCGCGCACTTCTTCAACAGCTTGTATGTTGGAGTCCCTCTGGAGCTGCAGCTCATCCATTTCGTACGCGCGGGCATAATGCCGACGGCCCACCTCCGCAATATCGGATGACGTTGTCGAAACGCCGGCACGGGGAAGCCGGGCTGCAATGCTGGTGGGAACAATGATAGAGCCGTCCGGTAGCTGTTGTCCAACTGATACATCACTATTAGATACTTTATCCGTGTCCATCAGGTTTGAATAGTTAGGTGGTTGCTGCACCGTTTGTGTTCCTTCGGTGGTCGACATCGCTTGTGCTCCAAGGTCACCTCGACTACGTTGAGGTTTTGTGGAAGACTCTGGTGTCCTTAATTCTCTTTGCTTTTGTTGCGTTTGAGCTGGTCGTGATCGCAGGCCAGAAATCGTCTGGCTCGCATTTGTTTCCAAATTTGGCTCCCGCTCCCCTTTTCCGCTTCTTCTTTCGGGAGGTCTTTCCCCTCCGAGTTTGACACCCAGCACTCCTCCGATCCCGCTACTGTCCAGCCGTTCTTTGCTGGATGGCACAGTGAACTTTTCTCGCCAGTTGATAAACTCTCTTTGATATTCCGTTTGGTATCGGCTCTGAAGTTGCTCCACAAGCTGACGGGCTCTTAAGTAGTTTTTGAGGGGATCAATCGAACTTGCCGAAGGAGGGACTTCGGTGGTTACAGGTTTCGGTGGGCTCGCAGCCTGTCCTAGATGTGTAGACTCTGATAAAGGTGTACTGCTTCCAGCTATGCGTGCAAGTCGGTCCCGCGTAGTCGGGTATATCTGCGAAATCAAACGTGAATGGACTGTAGACGATTCACTGCATTTACCAATAAATCTTACCTCTGATGGAGGAACCTTAACATTGAAGGTTTTCATATAGTGACCGTCTATCACAGGAGTTACGTTTTTGCCACCATAAGGCAAAATTGCGGGAGTTCTTCCAGCATCAATTGCCCTCGACTCAACTTCTTCCTCAGGATGTGGACGGTGACTCCTTCTCGAATCCGCCCACCGAACCTCTCTGTTAGATTCTTTCCTCCCAGTTTGAGGATTCTAGAATTGAATACTATCAGTTTTGTTGGTATGCACAATCGGTTTCAATCACCTCTCGATCAAGAGCGTTGGGTTTCTCTTCAGCCAGCTCATCGTTTTTAAAATTATCTTCATCCTGAATTTTCTCCTGATCTCCTGGATCCACGGGAGAAGTCTGTGCGGTTGCATCGGCTAGTCTCAACGATTCCGTTTGTGGAGCTTTGTAAGGCAAGTTTATCAGAGCATTCTGAACGGGCTCCTGGTTATTTTTGCTTTGTTTCTGCTGTTGCTGCTGGTAGTACCCGAGGAAAGCGGGATGATTGGGATCCTTCCATGTGAATTGCCGCTGGATGGGATGCATCGACAAAGCATGCAGATTGAAGTCGGAAGCGATGAGAGACTATGGATGCAACACAATCCAAGCGATTTCGCTCACCTGATACTCTGTCTGCCACGAATCAGTAGCCATGAATGAGTCTCTGGACATTTGGATTGGTCGTGTTGCAACGCGGCGCGTCCTCTTTCGGTGGCTGAGCAAGGGTGATCGTCCCACGCAATGAGTGTGATCCTGATCTGGCGTGTGAAAGTTTACAGGTGGGAACGTTCGCTGATGTCAACAGTCTCCCCCGCACTCACCCCAGGAACTTAATTCAGTTAACTTCTCTCTGGAGTCAGAGCCTGCGAAACGATCCGATGCTGTGCAGCGGTTGTTCGCTCGACAGTGCCGCTGAAATTTCCCTCCCATGGACCATTTCAGAGACCCGTCGCCTTTCCCTAAGAGCGCTCAATTTAGGATGTCTCACAAAAGTTGCTCTCGAATGGCTCGTGAATACAGGAGGCGAGCATTCAATGATTAAAATGGGCTGCGAGTGTTACAGAGACGGAAATCTGCTTCAGCTTATCATCCTGGTCTGTGATTGGAAAGCTCTCATAATTCGATTGGGCGGCATGGAGTGTCAGAGGAGAAATGACTGGCAGGCTGGGGCGAGTCTCCTCCAGGCGTTGCTGGAGAGTCCCACGGTCGCCAAGGTCGGCGTGGATTTGTGGAGAGATGTGCTTAAGGTGTACGAAAGTCTTCAGGTAATTTCAGTCAAAAGAATGTGAGAGAGCTTTAATTAGAGGCATTGAACAGATTCGAGTGTGCGCTGGTTATGATCTGGCACAAACGTCTTTAGTTTCCACACTGTCAATTCCAAAGTCTGTAGACCCTCGAATCCGCCGAAGAGGAATTACGAAGCAGATTATGTGCTCTCTTGTACCGGCCATGTCCAGCGAGCTTCTGAGCAAAATGGGGACTGTGTACGAACCTGTCGCTTGGACAACAAAAAGGCCTATATGCTTGGACTTGGGGAGCTCGGAGAGGAAGGAGGAATGGAGATTTTTAGCGCATTTGGTTATTCCTGCCGCATTTGAATGGTTCGTGGCAGCAAGCACGAAGGATGCTATTTTGAACAATATTTCATGCCGAGTAAACTCTCACATCAGTTCTCCATGGGTGTTGGATATGGCAGTGGAAATTATCAGCGCATATCGTCGGGCAGCCGACGGGCTACCACAACCACATTTATCAAAATTGTTCCTCGCAGCGGGTTGGCTGCAGCAATCTGAGGATACTGATGATATCATTGAGTGTCTAGAGAGAGAGCTCTCTTGTGCAGGACGAAATGAGGACCACGCGATGCACGAGTTCTTACGACATCTGATATCCGGAACACTGAAGGAATCATGCTTGCCTATAGCACTTCGTTTGCTATTCGATGGGAGCAACAAGGCTAGCAACACAACGCTCTTCAAGATTCCTTCTGCACCTCCTTATGACTCAAATACTCTAAGGCATATCGATAGCAATTACTTTCACGACTTGGATTTGTTCCAACAGGGTGCTTTAAACGCTGCACTTGATACAGATCGTTCAATATTGCTTATTGAAGGTCCACCAGGTACCGCTTTATGCTAAAAAGTGTCTGAACAAATGTGAAATCCAAAATTTTTCTTCTCAGGGTCGGGCAAAACAACTGTGTTAGCTCGTGCAATAAAAGTATACTACGAGGTGTTACGGGAGCGAATCGACGGAGGATCGCGAAATGGGCTTAACTATCCATACTCCAAATCAGAGGTACCCATTCAAAGTGTTGTTGCGGTAGTCGGCCCAAGTGAACCGAGTGTGATGAGAATTGCACAACTTCTGCTCAACGATGGAATCGACGATTTCATGATCATCGTGCATCCCCAATTCTTTAACCAGTCAACAGGATTAAGGATGAAACTTTCTGAACTTATTTTACGGCGATGTTACGGTTTCAATGATCTACGTCCCTTTCTGTTCGCTCAAAGTCCCACCGGCCGTTTCGATAGCAGGAGTAGCTGGAAAGCACCAGAAATTCCTCCAATCGTACTTTGTCCGTTGAGTACGCTTTCAGTTCTCGCAGATGATGTTTTTTACGAGATTTTCGGAGGAAAACCTCTCAACGGGAATGATGATCAGCTTTGGCGAAACAAGAATCAAAAATCAGGAGATCTTAGGCGAACTACACATGTTTTCATTGACGAAGTCTCTCAGATATATGTCGGACACCTTGCCGCACCGCTCACTCGTATTGGGATGGGACGGGAAGGTGTTGAGAAGCTCTGCTTTTTCGGAGACCAAGGTGGCATCGCACCGAGGGGTAAACAGGTCACTAAAACGTTCAGAAATGTCTTTCATGCGTTGCACACCCGCGCACTGCAGTTCCCAAGATTCACCGTCCGACGATACTTTGGAAGACCAGGAGAAATTTACGCCTCAGAAAGCTCACCAATCGGACCTATTCGACTGTTCACTCAGCATCGCATCCCACCGTTGATCTCAAAGTTCATTTATCGCGAAATATGTGGAATGTCTCTTTACGACGCACTGGTATTTGAGAACGAAAATGGCAAGTCACCAATTCAGAAGCGCGTCGAAAGATTCTTGCCTGAAGGAGCATCTTTGGGACAATTGACTATTCAAGAGGCGAATCGTTGGGACAAGCTGGTTTTCCAAAATAAGGCGGAACAGCAGGAGGAGAGTATCCTACCTTTGCTCTTCGTATTGAACCGCCCACACCACCCACGGAACGACCTTGAATTCGTCAACACGCTTGGAAGTGAATCTCGTGTAGAGGGTCCAGGCAGGCATTCCCCCAAATACATCGCAACCTTTGGCGCGTCAATCCTGTTTGAGCATTCACCGGGGTCTATTCAAATCGTCACTGAGAAAAACAATACACCAGTGAATCAAAGAGAGTGGACTTTCTTCAATCGAATGGAGGCTGAAGTGATAATGAGACTCGTTCTGGAACTTGCAGTTGGTGTTGTGCAGTTGGATATTCCGATTCCAAGAAAGGCAAATCAACTTGACAATGTGTTGAAGGTCCGAATGGAGGATATTGCAATTTTGACGCTTTATGCTGGTACCAATATTGAATGAACTATGCTGAATAAGTGAT